CGTCACCTTAAATCTGTTATGTTCTAATTAATCAAGATCCAAAGGGAACTGGAGCTTAAACTTTAGAAAAAGAACTGTTATCTCGTTTGAATTCTGGTGAAACAATGTGAATAAAAAAGTTGTACGAGGGGAAGAGCCAACAATCCACAGCATAGCATTTAAGCATGTGAGATAATCTCGTGAACCCTTTGAGAGCCATTGAACTTTGGCTTTCTTCCTCCGCCTGCTTATTTATGGAAAAAACATGGTTATAATCCGTTGATTCTCAGATCTACGTATAATCCGTTAATTCTCTGGTCTACGCAGATGACTCTTTCCCTGCTCCACGCTCCTCTTAGAACTTTAATGGTTTGTAACATGTTAATTATGCATTTATAGTTAGCTTTTCTAAAAAGGTGAGAATAAGCATAGTGTTTATTAAAACACTTTGTAATGGGGTAATTTCATGCCATAAGAATCAAAAGATACCTTTATTTCCTGATTAATTCTCTTTCTTCAGATCAATATGTTATGTCGTTATGTTTGTAATGCAACCAGTAAATACAAATTATCCATCTTTTAAAAAAAGAAGAAGATAACAGAAGGAAAAAATATGAGACACGCCGCGTTGATGACAGTTGTGCTTTCAACAGCCTCGCAGTGTAAGAGGATGTTTCGTCTGTGTGTTCAGTTTGTTTGGGAGCGAAGAATGAAAGGTAGGTGAAGCAAAGTTCAACGGTTTAGCATATTTGTTCGTTGTTGTGTTCCAACCGTTCTTGCAAAGTTTAATTCTTGAAGATGAGCTTTGGCACTAGAGGGTTTCTTGGGTGCGTTTATATTATATAGGCACGATAACTGCAAGGTATAGTTCAAAAATTGTTTAGAATTATATAAGTACAATGCATCAAATCATTGCTTCTTTTGTTTTCACTTATCCATGCGACATCTCAAGTTGCCCTTCTGCTTGTCTATTCACACAATTTGAGCAACGATCAAAAAGAATTTGTCGCAGAAGCAGGAACGATTTACATCTGACACCAAACGATGGTTTCCACTCAAGCAAAACAAATGCATAGTCTGCGTATATCCATGGATTTCGGGCACACTCGTTTTTACAAAGCTTTTACACTTCGTTCCATTCCAAGAACATTCCGAGCAAAGACTGGATCTAGAAGTACTTTTGATCCGCCCTGAGATGGCGGTCAAATTGGCTACCTCCAGG